TTTTCTAAAATGAATGAAACGACTGGAGCTATTTTACCTGACAACGTGGTAGAAAGTGCTGAAGAAGCTCCTCAAGCTTTTATAGCAACCAAGTCGAAAGTAATATATGAAAAATGTTATAGTGACTTCCAACACTGGCACCAAATTAATATTTGTCCAGAAATAGTTAGTGAAAATGTTCTTCTGACATATTTTCAGCAGCTTGTAAGTTTATTAAAATGCAGTTTTATTTTATAAAGTATATTTAAATGATTTTTAGTCCACCAAGCACAGTTCTTCAGCTCTATGGGTGTATTGTTCGATACTACGATGTACGATCAATAAGAACATAGATATAAAATGATATGACAAGCTATTTGCGTTTTTAAAACGAAAAAAAAAACAGAAAAAGTTTTGACGAGTGATAATCTGAAATTGTTTCTTCAGGATGAAGAGGATGATCAATTTTTAATGTGCAAGGTAAAAATATATCAACAGTACGTTTCCGACGTTTACTATTGTTTTTAGGTAGTGGCCATTTTCGGGTTATTTGGAACCACCCGATGCGATGAAATTGACAATTCATCTACAAATCATATTATTAGAAAAGAAGGAAATGTCGTAATAGTGACAATTTATCACAGAAAAACTTATAAATCTCGATTTTTTATTGTTGCTTTTTTGTTTTCTACAATCGTTGAAAATGTAGTATGCAGAGAGTAGGCATACATACGATTTCTTTGGTTCCCAAATTAATTGCAACGTTTTCGGGAGTTACGGAACCTGAAAGATACACCGGCTACTCTCTTCGACGTAGTTCAGTAACAGTTTTGACCAAAAAAGGTTGCAATATCACTGATCTGAAAAGATTGGGTGGGTGTAAAAGTTCTACTATTGCTGAATCATATATGGAAAAATCAGTGCAATATAAAATCAATGTTGCTAAAAAAATGGTTGACTGTGAAGCTGCTTCGTCTACGACAAAAAGTAATTGTAATAATTTAGCAATGGAAGAAAACGTTAATATGAATGAACTCATAATGAATTTTCCATTAAAAAAATAACTAACGCTTATTTTTCAAGTTGTTAGATGATTTTATGATGTTCGACCTTAATTGTGGTAGGCTTCTCATCTGAACATTTCTTTATATAACTAGGTACTACTTCCACGCACAAATTTTTAAACTGATCACGTCTTCTGAATAACCGCGATCTCGCCTCCTATTTTAGACTCTAGTTGGCACTGCGCTTCATGAAGTTTAAAGTGAGCGTCCAACAAAATTTGGAAGGGTTGTTCATGCACGTTAGGGTGGATGGGATCGAATGTTCAGATGAGAAGACTAGCACAATTAAAGTCGAACATCGTATCATCGTTTTGACCTGTTTAATTGTGCAAACGTCTTTTCATCTGAACATTTCTTTATATAACTAGGTAGACGTTTAAAGAATTATTGTTGCGCAACTGAAAAGTATCTATGTATATACATATACGTGTATACAAAAACAACTAATAAGCGTATATAATGTTTATGAAAAGGTGGACTGCAGAATGGGGTCTGAAATGGTTGCGCTAGAGACCAGAGGTCGCTGGTAAAACCTAGAAAAAATTTTGGACGTAGATGTCCATCCTGCGGCCTGGCGAATAGTATCTAGGGCAGTGCCTCTACGAGCGGCGGCGGAAGTGCTGGCATGACGAGTGGAATATGCTGTATATATATTTGTGTCAATTCCCGCTGCTTGTAGAGTTTGTTTTATCCACCTACCTAATGTGTTCACCGAAGCGCGCGTATACGGCTTCCGGAAAATAATAAAAAGGTAATCTTCCTTCGCTCTTAAACTCTGGTAGCCTCGAGATAGAGGCGAAGGGTGGTAATCTGTAAAAATATGAAATTCAAAATTGGGATAAATGCCATCTCTTAAAGAGGTCTTAGTAGGGTCCACTACTGTGGCCCAAACCGTGGAAGCAGTAAAACGCAAACAAGAAATACGAAGCAAAGATTAGGTTTGAATTCTGTGAGCTGTTGTGAGGGCCAATTAGGTAGCCAATTTTAAGGTCAACATTTTCAGTGAGAGTTCACTGGTAGGAGGAAGAGCTGGATCCCAGGTTGTTAAATTTCTCGGTTTTGTTGGCCTTTGTCATTTAACCCCTTTCAAAAAACGCTTAATATAAATATTATTACTTTGTCGAAAAATGTTAGCTGCTAGATATAAAGCTTCAGAATTTAGATCACAAAATATTAGTTAACAGATCTGAAGTTTTGAATTTTAAATTTGTCATTTCTGCACATTCGACTGCGTTTCTTAACATGCCTCTGTCAGTAAATGAAACCACTTTCTTAAGTTTAATTATTAAGGTGGAAAGAGTTTCTTGTCGCGCCACTGAATTAATTGCCACATATCTTTACACAAATCTGTCATAAGGTTAACCCCTTTCAAAAAACGCTTTATATAAATGTTATTAGAACATCATCAGGTAGTATTGGAGCAAGGGCAGACCGGTGAGAATTAAATGTGAGTAGTAAGGTAGGGCAATTAGTGCATATTTAATTGCTTTTTAATTACCAGCGCGGCAAATTAGCGATGTCTTAATCACCAGCACTTTCACCCTTAATGACCAGCGCTGCAAATTAGCGATGTCTTAATTACCAGCGGTGCAAATTAGCGATGTCTTAATCACCAGCACTTTCACCCTTAATGACCAGCACTGCAAATTAGCGATGTCTTAATTACCAGCGGTGCAAATTAGCGATGTCTTAATCACCAGCGCTTTTCAGCCCTTAATTACTAGCGCTTTCACCGTCACCCGGTCCTTATAAAATGCGGGCGAACTTGTACATCTTTAGTTGAATCGTCTTAATCCTTTCTGAAGAAGTTCTGCAGGTCCCCAAGTGTGTTTGTGTTAGTTAGTATCAAGTTGCTGTGATATTGATATATAACCTCAAAAAACGCTCTAATTAAAAAACACTAAACAATTTTTTTTATTTGTTTGATATACCTAATTATTATTTTATTTAGAAAATGAAGTGTGTAAATCTTGCGGCGAGAAAAACCTCTGAACCTTTGGAGCGTCGCACATCGTCGTCGATATCGTCATCATCGGGGCCGCGGTAAAAGAGGCCCCGATGATGACACGATGCCAAAGTTCAAGAATCGTTGGACTTTGAAGTGTTTGAGAACTCTCTGCATGCATCTTCGTCATCATCTGAGTTAGCACCGAGATCGACCCTATCGCCCCCGTCATCACCGTCGTCGTCGTCCCTTCTGCTGCCAATTGAACCAAGCTCCGATGTCAGCTTCGACTTTTCTCAACCAACTCCACAGCCGCCCAAAGAGCCTTCGCAACAACAACAACAACAATGTGAAAATTGGGGTGATGGTGCCGATGAGTTAGAAGAGCAGATGTATGAGGCGGCAGCAAGGTTGGAAACAATTTTGCAAGCTAGCGAAGTACGGAAAATCAAAAATGAAAAATTCAGACTGCTGAATGAAAGGACATTCCCTTTAACAAAATCGGAGAACAAGTTTATATGTGTCGGAGTGCGAGCTCTTCGAGACTATGAGGCGGTGGTGAAAATATTTAATCCCCAGCTGACAAGAGCCGCCACCTTCACCAAGACAGAATTTGACGAGCTTATCAGGAAACTGCAAGACTATATATCTCTTGTTCGCAACGTGGAGAACGAAGTTTTATTATGCGAGTTAACTAAATACAGTGTCTACATGTGTAAAAATAAAATCCAAAAGCTATTAAGCGGAATTAAGCGGAACGAAAAAAATTCACGCAAGTTGTTCTAGTAGAGATATGATTTCTTTAGTCCTATCACTGCGGCTACGTTTGCTGTTAGGTTTTGTGCCGGAGACAGATATTTTAAACAAAACATCCAACCATCCAGCAAATATTTTATTAGGGCTGCCGTCGGAATTCTTTATACAGGGTGTTATTGAAAGGTACGTACAACAAAATTGACAGTTCTTGGCGAAATCTAAGAAGTCTGAAAAACTTATTTTGTGTTATCAAAATTATAAGGGGAAAATTAACCCTTATCCAACCTTTTTAGAGGCTACTGAAGGATAATAGGTAAAATTAATTTATTTTAGTAAATCCTAGCAACTGTAACAACAAAACTTTTGTCAAGACTAAATGTTGCTATAGAAATGAAAGATGATCTTTTAATCAGAGACGTACAACGAGTTTGGAAATAAATTTTAATAATTTTTATCTCTAAAAGGAGAATACTTTTAGCTGAACTTTTTTTTAATTTTAGCACCCATACTTCGAAACAAATTACCAATTTTATTTTGTACGTACCTTTCAATAACACGCTGTATACAACGACATAATAGAACCACAACTGGTCGGCGATGTGTTGGCCAAGGTTTTGAGAATAGTAGTTTTGGACAATACACACTACATGTACGGTGCGCAACGTGTACATTTCTTTTCTCAACCGCATTACGTACCAGTACTAACACGCGAATTTGAAAACATTGAAGTAGATATAAGGAATAACACTGGTGAGAAAATACCATTTCAGTTTGGAACTGTGACCGTTAAGCTTCATTTCAAAAGATTATTGCAATGAGCACGTATTACAACGAATACTATGTAAATCAAGCAGGAAGTGGAGTGGGTTCTATTTATCGAGGAAGCGTCTACCAAAAAGGCAGCGGTTTTGGAAGCTTTTTTAAAGGTTTATTTCGTTCCGTAATGCCTTTGATCAAATGCGTGTTAAAAACAATTGGACTAGAATCGCTTCGTTCTGGATCACACATTCTCAGCGATATAGCGAACGAGAGACTCGTAGCCGATGCGTTTAAATCGCATGTTGTCGAATCAGCTGAAAATTTCATACGCAAAGCTGAAAATAAAATTGAAAAATTGGTAGGCTCTGGGAAGTTGAAACGAAAGCATAAATCGTCCAAAAATCAGAAGCGGTCTGTCCGTCGCAAAGTCAACAACACCAAGTGCAGAGACATATTTACTTAATTACATCTACAGTTTTCTTCAATTGTCACAAGTCATGGCTTTTTTACATCCATGCAGTTGTGGGTGTGTAAAATCAGAACTAGATTTATTTGCAATACCAACTACTCAAACCAGCGTCGAAAATGGGCAATGGATACATTACAACACACTCAACAGCATCAGTGACGAAGGACTTTTGGAATTTGTGATAAACACTGCTGATGAGTATATTGATCTGTCACATACATTGTTCGCTTTAAATGCGAAGCTTGTTAAAGAAGATGGCGCAAATTTTATTGCTACTGATAAAATTGTGCCCGTTAACAATATTTTACACTCGTTATTTAGTCGGGTGGATGTTTATTTAAACCAAAAATTAATTTCACCACCGAACAATACATACGTCTATAAGTCCTACATTGAAACGTTGTTAAATTACTGCCCTGCGGCTAAAAATTCTCACTTAACATGCGGCCTGTGGTACCCGGATACAGCCGGTTCTAGGGATAGCGTAGAAGATGCTAATGCTGGGTGCAAGAATCGCCTCGTATTTATTAAAGAAAACAAAGAATTCGATCTAATCGGACATCTCAATTGCGATCTGTTTAAGCAAAATAAATTTTTAATCAACGGAGTAGAATTACGAATAAAACTGGTTCGTTCAAGAAATCAAGGGGGCGGACGGCGAGCGGTCAGCGGGCGGGCGGCGGGCGAGCGGCAGAGGGGCGGCGGACGGGCGGCGGCGGACGAACGACGCGGACAGCGGCGCGGGTGGTGGGAGAACGGCGCGGACATCCTTATGATCCCTTTTTTCTTATTAATACATTTTTTTTAATATTAAAAAAATTGTCAGTTATATGTAAATATAAGTTTATTCAATATTTAATCAATGCATATTACATAAACAAATATAAATAGATAATAAGAAAATACAAACTAAATCATAATAACGAGAAAATATTGCTTAACTTATAAACCCGTAAGATACAGTGGCATACGAATTTTCAAGGCGGCGTCGCTTCGTCACATAAATTCGATACTTTTTGTTCGAATCTTTAGTAATAACATCATACCTTATATTTCTTATCATTTAGCTCTAAAAATTCAATCTGATCATAACAAACCATGTCTCGAATTTTTTCAAAGTTTAAGATTTGCTGATTTTCATAATTTAACCAAATACCTTTGACCTTTGACCCTACAGACAGTTTTGTATGTTTGGTCTTTGACAGACCAAAATTTATACGAATAATTTTTCGGGCCCTCGCTAACAAATTCAGAGATATAACTCCCTTCTCCATACTCAACAAGTTCGTCAGTTAGATCGCCGAGGTAGTCACCAGTTGGTGGACACCATTCACCATCACGCTGAGAAAAAATTATACTGTCTGCATCAAAATATAACACTCGGCGATCTAACTGTTCTAGATACTTGTAGAGTTCTAAACGAGCTCCTGCAGTAGTCTACGCAGCTATTACCACATTCGCCGTTTTCAAAGGGTTTACGTCTTCTTCTACGCTGTCCCATGTTGTCAATACCACCTTGGGATTTATAATTGTCAAGTTATATACGGACGCCGACGGATTTTAAGTAATTTAAACAAGTATGGCTTGTTAATAATTTGGGTTTGTTGTGCGTTTTCTTTTTGACCGAACTTCCCCCAAAAACTATTTATTGAGCATTATTTTGTGCAAAAAACGCATCCCGCTGTTGTGCCAAATTTTACTCTTATCTAATAAAATACCCTCCCTTTCAAAATATGAATTGATGTATAAATCCTTTTTTTCTTCCGAAGCGCACCATGCGAGGTAGCCGCTGTTTTCTTGCTTCCCTTTCAAGCCACTGTTAATATAGGCTGAAAACAACCCGTCCGTAGCACTCTTATTATATTGTACCACAGCGTATTCCCAGATTTCTAAAATCTCTATCACCCTGTATCTTAATTCGAGTGCTTTGCGCAACTCATCGGCCACATACGTCCCAACAAACTGGCGTTCAGTTTCAGCATGCTGACATTCAGTCTGTTGCATTGTTTCAGCGCATGTTCTACACAAAGGGAACACCAGTTTGTTGTTACATCTGTATGCCAATACAGGGTGATAAAGATTGCGGGGTGGAAGAATACAACATTTGATCAAACCTTCAATGGTATCTAAATTTACCATACGGCACTCGTTATTTCAAACATAAATATTCACAGGATGACCCACCGGGTATTTCCCGTATTTATTTATGTATGGATATAACGAGCACACATAATACAAAATTTTTTCGTCGGGGTCACAATTATGAGTTTTCAAGCGTTTGTGCAGCCACCGTAAAAGGCATCTCGAGGATTAAAAGGCGAAGATTTACGTCCATCCAGTGTCTCCACAAATTCTCGCATATTTGCGCTTGCAATATTTTGTTATATTCGCACTGCCATATTGATATCCAATTATATCCAGCTCCCTTTATCCGTTCTTCTTTCTCTAACGTCTTTTCCCGAGCCAAAAAAAGTGCATCATCGTTGTCGGACAGTTTACACGTCTGGTTAAAAAAACATTTTTCGCACCCGTGAAACCAACAGCCATAGAGTTCGTAGACTGTGTTTGTGGTTTCACACAAGCCATCCACGAGTAAATTCTCAGGCAACCTAACTCCACGCCCATTACCAGCATGCTGAATAAAAATGTTTCCAGCATGAGCCATCCACGACAACCACTCGATAGCCACCTTGGATTGATTATCTGCACGACGGTAACCGTTTCTAGGCAATATCCCTATGCTGTTTTGTCGCAAGAAATTTCGCCTAAAAACAAGATTACAAGCTGAGGCTATTATTAATGATTCCAACAATGGATCGACTCTATTGGCTGAAAGGAAACATTCGCAAAATTTTATGCAACCTCTACGTAACAAATCGACATCGGCGATGCAATATTTTTTAATTTCTTCCCACATTCTAAATTCTGCGTTATTTTGCACCTGTTGATCGTACCATCTGATAAATTTTTCCCGCTCACCTGGTAACATAGAATTCTGACCGTAGAAATGCTTTTTAGGAATAGGGCCGATGTAGTTTTTATTACCAGACGTATTAAAAAAATGCGGGAAATACCCCTTGCAGCCCTCTAATTTAAATACCGCTGGAAAACGCGACACAGGCAGTTGGATAAAATTAAGGCTGTCTATAAACCTTATAGCTGAACCACACCCAATTGTTATTAATTTTGTACCAGTGCGTATTACCCCAGGAGCACAAAGCACCCGTCGAAACCTTTGTTGTTGTGAGCAGTAGCGGTTACCTTAAATCTCTTCGACATTTCAGCTATATGCTCCAGCAAATTGTCTACAGGCGATTCACTATAAATTATCTGCTTCTGACCACAATTAACGCATTCGAAGTTAGACATCGTCGCTCGTTATACAGAGACGACAAGCTTTTTGCAGCACACACAGATTTGACTCGTGCAAATACGTGTTTTCGCTAAGCTGCTTGTCCTGCGTGGTTTCCAAGTTGTAAAGTATGAATAAAAATGTATGAGCATTTTCCAAAGCCTTGTTAGGAAATAGCTGATTGGATTGCATATAGCAAAAATGTCAAATACGCATATCAGTTCGACAAATGTTACAGTACTTCACGCCACAAATGTGCTTAGACTTTTTATTATACCAAACATGAGCCCGACATCTGACACATTTTTTTAATTTACCGCACAATTTAGAAATTTTGTGTTTATTCACTCATTTCCGCGAAAATACCTTAAACACGAATCACACTTTATAACTGCTGAATCTATGCGACATAGAGGACTGACATGACAGCATGGACATATGTATGGACCATTTTTGTGTCTATCGCCCCTTGAATATCTCATCCGACAGAGCTCGCAATAATAGGAAGCGGAAAATGCACCTGTTAAACTTAATATCACATTATAGTGATCTTCATCTTTAATTAAATTTAAACACTTCTTATTTGGAGCTCTGTCACCCTCAAAATAAACAGAATTACCATCTCTACTATTGTAAACGACGATTGTGTAATCTGTTAAAAATTGCTGAAAATCATTAATATGAACACAGTGTCCACCGTTACTCAAATCGACGTTTGCCAAACGGCATAGATTATTGACTGAATTTTTTAATAAGACCTGACCGCGAACCCCCGAAAACTTTTTTTTCAACAATTTTTTATCATAGCCGTTGTCAACAAATTCTTTTGAGATGATTAGCCGCACCTAGACATGCGTTGTCATCATTGAGCACGACATATATACTATTTTTTGACAAACTATACTCATCAAAACTAACAGCTTTACCATCGGTCGCAGACCGACCGTTACCAGCAGGCGATCTCACCCTGTCTATCTGGATGCTCAATTGATCACTGGTGACTAATGCAGCGTTACTTTAAAGAACAAAAGCAATCACGTCCATGATCACTTCAGGCTTGATTTCTGGAAACTTTCTAAACGAAATTCCCAATGGTCTTTCGGGAAAGTTTTCGTTCTTCATTGTAATTCCAACAATATCGCTCTGCTGAAATTCTCTGCATGCGTGACTCAACAATTCGCCAATCACTTTCTAAAATAGAAAGATAAATTAAACGCTGAAGCAGATGATTTTTTTTGAAGTGATAATTTACATACCTTTAACCACTGTAACGGCGTGTCGTTGACCTCGATCGCTTCCGATTTAATGGTAAAGTTGAGACATCTAGACACAATACCAAACCTCTTCACAAATCGCTCTGATTCTTGTTCAATATTCAGATGACGAAGATCCTCTGTTGGGCGTGCATTAATAATGTGGTCATTGTTCGGAAGAATTTCTGTCCTAAAATATTTATATATATTAGATAAACTTTTTCACTTTCTGTCTGCCAGTCTTTTTTTAAAAAATTAACTCACCATCTTGATTTCGGGGGTTGTTGATACCGGAAATTCTTGGCTCTGTACTACGGCCTAGTTGAAGTGGGATGTTACTATTATTATTACCACGCGGATCTTTAAAGAAAAAGGCATTTACTTGCACATACGCTCGGAAACAGAAAACAAATGCGCATTACTTACAGTTTGAACTCATTTTGGTTGTAGATGGTGCTGGGCTTCTTTGATTAAAAATTGTCTCACCATTTTGATTTCGACTGCTGCTGCTAAAGATAGAGGAAGTTCTTGGGTTTTTATTACTACTACGATCTAGTTGCAATGTTGCGTTATTACGATGCGGATCTTTAAAACAAAGGGATTCACACACGCTCGAAAGCAGAAAAAAGTACATTACTTACAATTTGGAATCATTTTGGATGTTGATGGTTGCGGATTATTTAGACATTCCAAACATGCTACAGCATTTACCGCTTGGTTGTCTGTAATCTTTGATGTGGAATTTTCCACAACACTCAGTCCGTCTCTCTTAGATATGATTATAGAAGACACTACCCCTCTCGCCATCTTGACTTTTGCGGTTTTTACGGGTTCTTGTTTTTCCATTTTCTTAGTCAAAAGCGTTTCTAAAAACGTTAACATCCTCAAGAAAAATGAATTTGAAAATCTCCGCGAGCAAATAATGTACTCACCATTATCCATTTTGGTTCTAGTAAAGTTGAAAAGGCTGGGAGATGCAGAAAAAGCGGCGGCGGCCGCGTCGACGGCGGCTTCTTGGGTTTCTTGTTTTTGATTTTTATTAAACATAGCATCCATCACTACATTGGCGTCTGTTTGAACACCATCTGGAGCTAATAAGAACGATGAAAATGAATTATTTTATTTGTTGAACTTGATAAAATAATGTTTTACTTACACTGCAATTCGATTTCGTGCATCAAGGATTCGCAACAGGCTAGTCCA